AAAAAGTGCTTCCACATATTCCATTCAAAATAACCCCACATGGCTGCAAGGGTGAAAGTCAGCAGTGACAACACAGGGTCCCATCCCCCTTACTGGGTTAGTCCCATCTGGGCAGATGTGGACAAAAAACATCATCCTGTTGAGTTCTCCTTGAAGGTGACAGCCGGAATAACCATACAATAAATAAAACCACACACAGAAAAGGTCAGACAGAAGCCTGGGAGATGAGACAGAAGAAAGCAGTTAAACAGGCACATCCAGCAGTGCTGGGTTTTCTGTTCCTCTGCCCCGCTACGAAGCAGGCCAAGAACAGCTCTGTGCCCCCAAGAACAGCTCAGGCACACCCTCGCACCACCCATAACTCAGGAGCACTCATCACTTACTCCTTGACCCTTCTGGGATTTCCCTGAAGTCATTCTTCACGTCACAGAAGTTTCTGCAAGTCAGAGAGCAGTATGAAGCAGCAGGTCCTGAACGTGTAGGCTATGTGTCCATGAAGTTAAGCACTGAGACAGCTTCAGCAAACTTAAAGAGAATCTCCAACGCATTAAAGATCAACACGGCAGCCGCACAATCTGGCAGTGCGCCCTCCAACATCAATATCAATTTCCTCCATCAACAGGAGACAGAATAATAGCAACTTCCTCTATATAATACAGCCCTTAATTGTCCCAGATCAAATACTGGCTCCCAGAGGCTATTCATTCTGCTCTAGAGGTAACCACGTTTTACACAAGATGCAACAACTTTTACCTGCAAATGCTAAATACCGCAGGAAGCCCAGAAGCTGCATATGGAGACTGTTAATAACATTAATCTACCACATCACTGCACTGGCTCTAACTGAATACACAAACCACTGCTGAGAGCAATGTGGGTGCTCCAGTGACCAGAAAACACTTGCAAGCTCTTGCTCGTCTGAGAGGCAGCAAATCCATACCACCACTGTCAGATCAGGTTTTTTCTCCCTGTATCAGCTCCACGACACCTCTGATCCCCCTACTAATGACAAAGTCTGCATTGATTTCATCAAAATTCAGCAAGACCTAGCAGAAAACGAACTGAAAAAAAAGAGGGAAATGTCAAGTGAGTCATTAGCAGGTAGAGGAAGGAACTGTGTAGTAAGTAGTCTTCAACATACTTTTTCTCTTTTAAAATAAACGATGGCACAAATTGAGGGAATCGTTTCACATTAGTGAAGCTGCAGCAATAACAAGCCCTGCACAGTCTGCAGGAGTGAGGTATTCCTCCACTCATAGGGGTTACTTATGCCAAATGCCAATAAATTCATGGGTAAAATTAACCTGCTTCTTTGGAAACCTCTAGGAGTTCAGATCTTAAGTACAAGAGCAGATGCAGAGAGAAGCAAGCAAACCAGCACCAAGACAGAAGATTTTTCCCAACTTCAAACACCTAAGAAAATGCCTTTATTTTTTTCATCTTTTAGCTGCTATTGCTGATGTTACGACCTTTGCGTTGAGCAGGCACTTGGATGCTGAAATGGGAGAATGTATTTCCCATCATTACCAGGAACAGGCATGATCCCGCCATCTTTCTGTTTATTTGTCTTTTCTTTTGAACATTCTTTGGTGTGTACTTCCATGTGTGCACCTTTTTGATTTGATTTTTCCTTGGTTACCACAACACAGCCCTTTTTCCTAGGGCTGGTTAGTATAGCAACAGAATCTGTTTGGTAGCAACACATTGCAGACATCAAAAAAAATCTGCTATTAGCTCAAGAAACATGAAACTACACGCCAGCAGCCCATGCAACAGAGATACCTTCCTGTAATATCTCACACCTGTCTCTCTAATTACAAAACTCTACAAATCCCCACCTTCTCGGCAGAGCACAAGCCTGAGCAATCTCTGCCTTCAAAGGACGCACAACAGAGGTGCACTGCCCACCACCTCCTGTGTGCCTGTCACTGCAGAGAAACCACAAGACAGATTTGATGGACTTCATGGCCAGAAATAGAATAAAGTCCACAGATGCTATTACTTGCACTAGCAGTTAAAACCAAAGTTACACTTTAAATTCCATATGGTATCACATCTGCATTTTTTTGCATGCATGTATCAATATTAATACAGAAAGGAAGAAGGGTTGGGAGGCATGTTCTTGGGGTTTGGGGTTTTTTTGTTGTTGTTTTTTTAAACTAGAGGAGTCTTCCTGTATTGTCATTTCACTGCAAAAAGTCTGTATGAGATATTATATTAAGTTACTCCACTGAACTCTTGTACAACTCAGAAGGAAAGAAACTCTCAGCACACAGTTATATCTAATTCACTGCCTTGGGACACAAGAAGGTTTTTATTGCAGCAGGTGAACAATTACTAGTACTTAGCTGTCAGGTGAGAGACTGATGCTTCCCCCTCAGCTACAATACAGCCCAAACGCAGCATATACATACTTGACGTCTGCAGTATACTAGAGGCAGCACGGATTGGTCAAGCCGATAATTTCTCAGCCGCAGCCAGCCACGACAGAAAGTTCAGCCAGGCTATTACCACTGTTATTAATTAGTTTCTAACCTGAGAGAACAACCTATTCCAGATTTGCTTCTAATTTAAACTGAGGGAACTTACCCAAAAATGCTTTATCCGGTCACACAAAGTGTAGCCCCTACTGAGTGAGCGTGCTATTATGAGAAAGCAAACTGATACAAATATAGCACAGTGACAGTACACACTCTGCAGTCATTTCCTCTGCGAAACAGAGGAGAATGAAGTGGGTAAGCTGCTCAGCCAGCTTTCTGCTAAGGCCACTGAAAATTGCATTGATGACATCAACAAAAATAATCAGTTAAAGACAAATCTGAGAAAATAATTCTCAAACAACATTTTAAACTTCCTCTCAAGTACTCACAAACCTGAAAAGACACATACATTTCTACCAGCTGCTTCTCCATTTATATTCGTGCACAGGATAGATTTTTTTTTCCTGTTAGTTTTTATTTGTACTAGCCAAATTGATTGCAGGTTGATGTAAGAATTATTCATGCCATATCTGAAAACCTACTTTGCAGTAGATAGGCTGGGACAGGGCAGATATTAAACTTCATTGTTGGTATGGCTGATTGGTTGAGCGTGCATACACGTGCACTCTTTTGCAACCCATAATTCATGCATAGAAATTCAGATTACGATTTTCACAGCTAAAGCCAGTAAAGCGAACAACCCCACAATGCTTGGGGTTTTTTTAAACTCTACATGTAGAAAGGAACATGGTTAGAAGCATATGTCTGGAGGAAAAATAATGAAGCAGCATATAGTAAGCAGAAATGATTTTCTGGCAGTATTTTCCCAGCTACAGTTGAACTGCCAACTTTAAAGAAGTTATTTTAGCATACAAGATGAATGTATCTCGTGAACAAAAAGAATCACTCTTCCTAATCCTTTTCTCATGCACCCTCCTCAGTCCTGTTCTCAGACATGAAACATTGCTTAAAAAATGCCCATGGAACAGACTGAAAGAAGTTGCTGCTTCTCTATATATTTATAATGGATAATCTTAGAATCACTCTTAATTCCAGCTCATCATTTATGGTGTTGGCAAAGTTGCTCCTGTGAATTTAGTCTCATTATTCACCTTCGGGTAGTACAGTATCTTGTATTTTATATATCATCCTGCTTTATCCTGTGGATCCCTCACAAGCACTTACAGAACCAAGTGAAGGTGAATAATGATCCAAGTAGAAAGCTAAATGCTGAAATACTATGATTTTTTGGCCAGTTACAGGAAAACATGGTCATACTCTGAATATGCAGAAGAACGTCTTTACTTAAAGTAGGAATATATCCAGGAATGCCAGAGCGTGCGATATAGGCAGTCTTCCCAACAGGCCTCTGCACTATCCCAAGACACTGAATACCACTCAGAAAGTCAGCAGGACTGTTCAGCTTTGCTGTCTATGGTCATACCCCAGCTGCATTCAGTTACGCTTGTGAACTGGATAAAAACGTCTTTGCAAAAAACCAAAACCAGTAATGGGATCACCCATTCAGTTGAAAGTCACGTCACGACTGGGATGACGGGTCAAGTGCACAGAATTTTGGCTACTAGAAATTATACTAACAAGTGGAAAAGGATCACATTAATGGCAGAACACACTTCGCTGATTTATTACATTGAAGCCATTTATCTAGTGACAAGTCCTGCAGAAACAAGAATGAGCCAAGCTGGTAAATTTTTTCAGAGAACAACTTGACCCACAACATCCTCTTTAAACGTGCTGGAGAGGGCACTACTGCTGAATCCCATGAGCACTTTACCCCAATAACAGAGATGTTTCATTGGGTAACGGAAGTCAGATTTCATAACTTAACTATCTGGAAGAATTCTGCAATATGATCACCAGAACCATGGGCTCTACTTCAGGCTCACCATATCTCAAAATAGACCTCACAGGCTTCCGCATCTCATTCCATTACAGGGATCACATTATCTGGGGTCCGGCCACAGCACGCTGGGTCACAGCAGCCACTCCATAACAGGCACTTTCTGGCTAAAATGCGATGGTGGCAGTGACAAGACATGCGTCTTCTCTGGGTCTCCTTATACTTCAGTGATCACTCAGACACAGATAAATGCTTTGGAACAGCAAGGGAACTAGGTGATCTTGGGGTGGGGGGGGAATCATCAACACATATGCCACTTGGAAATTCTTCAGCTGAATCTCAACCGTAAGCCACCAATATCAGAATTTAAAGCAATCTGGGCAAACACAATAGAAGGAAAGAGCATCTTCCTAAACATCTAATAACAGTCACCATGACTGTCAACCTTCACCATTGCTACAGTACAAGCAAATATCACCGTGTTTCCCCACTGCTTACAACTGCTTGGTGTAGAGACCCATGCCAGATTCCCTTCACAAGCAGAGCTGCACATGGAGAAGAGGCCTCAAGGCATCCCTTCCACCAGCATCAAACAGAAAACAAGAGCAAGATGCCAGCCCTCAAGAAAAGCCGTCGGTGAGAAGTTCAGAGAGCCTTACCTATGTAGAGGGAGGAATCTTTCCGCCTCACGTGGTCATCAATGTAGGAAACTCCCAGGGGCTGGACAGGGGTAGCACCAATGCCCAGGAGGACCTGTGCTCCAATGAGCAGCAAGTACATCATGTTGGTAGCAGTCCTATTCCTGCAGATAAGGTCCGGGTCTGGTCCCTCATCACTGGTGGACCCGTTGGCAGCACACACATCCCTCCCTTCAGCCCCCCAGCGTATTTCTCCTGATTCGTATTCGTACTGGTGGGTCAGAAATTCAGGCAACGCGGAAAGGAGGGCACCCAAGGCCATGACTATCCCTCCACATCCTATCAAGCGTGGCCGGTGTCCTCGGGCTCCGAAGTAGCTCACAAAGAGGATGAGGGCCAGGTTCCCAATCTCGAAACTGCTGGCAATGACGCCCACATCAGCACTCTGAAGGTTGAATCGCCGCTCCAAGGTGGTTAAAACACTCACCTACAATAGAAAAATCCAAAGAAAATTACTGAAAGGGAATACAACCCAGCCTTCAGTCCTCCCCATATGTCCTGCTAAAGCACAAGTTTCCTTGACTTTCCCTTGGAGTCAGAAACATACACATCAAGGACATCCAAACCACAGTATAGTAGAAGTTGACCTCCAAGCATGATCTGACTATTCAAATACAGACACATCAGAAGGTCCTAATACCAAGCGACATTTCACAGCCTACCACCTGTCTGAGCACATGTTCACTTCCAACTTCCTGTGTACATCAGTGTGTATTTTGGGTGCCTACAGAGACCCATGACTCTGGGATGGGTTAGCCTCTCTTTGGGATCGCTTTCTATCTGAATGCACAGCTTCCACGTTGTGAACACTGTCTCACAGAACCAAGGCACAAACCACACCAAGCCTCACATCAAGCCAGGCACCCAATCTTTCTCTTGGAATGAACTGCAGTTAGTGAGCAGCAGAAAGCCTTGCAGATACCTGGCTCACACACCAGCACAAGGCCATCAAGTCAGAGGCAGTGATGCACAAACAGGCAATTTGGCCAGCACAGAAGGCTTCTATTAAAGTATATAAATAAAATGCTGATCAAAGGGTTTAAACTGTTTGTGCATTAGTTAATGACTGGGATTATCACTTACAGAATATTTTTGAGAAGACTGGCCAGTTAAGGTTTACATAGAAGATTTAAATCCACCACAAAGGGAAGATTTAACAAATAATGGTTATTTAACACCAAGAAGAGAGAAGCACATGAATAGTCTTCAAATATTTAACATTACTGTGAAAAGGAATGACCTGTTCTTTGTATTCAAAATTGGAGGACAAGAAGTGACAAGTTTAAATTGTAGGAGAGATGATTCAAGTTAAATACAAGGTAGGGAGAAACCAGACTTTTAATGATAAGGATTGTAAAGCACCAAAATATGCTGCCTGGAGAGGCTGCAGACTTCTTTAAAAGAGCATAGACCGGCATCTGTCAGGAATCACATAGGTATGACTGATCTTGCCATAAGGCAGGAAAATGAACCAAATCATCTCTTGAGACCTCTTCCAGTCTTGATTACATGGTGCAATGAAACACAATATGGATTTTCTGCAATAGTCATAGCACTGATCAGAGTATGAAGATGAAACATTAGGTACCTCACTTGCTGTCATCCCTGCTCAAGGGAGAAAGCTCAGCGCATCCTCATATCTATAGCAGTGTCTCCCTTATACAGGAAAAAGATAACAAGAAATCTTGAACGTGTCACAGAAACGCCAAAAACTTTTACCTTGGATAAAAGGCTATCTTGTTTTTCAGATTGCAAAAGATGAAGATATTTAAGGTTGTCCTAAAACAGGCAGGTTTCTGTATTCAAAAAAAATGTGATAAAGACCTCAGAGCAGAAGGTAGCCCCTGGATAGAATAAAAATAGCCTCCCACTGGAGGCACTGAAAATCTTTGCTGATAAACCTCATGAAGCAGGAGGCAATCTGACCGACTTTAAAGTATTCTGACAGCAGCTCTTCTCCGGGGGCAGTTAGCCTCTGCTAGGGTACACCAGGGCACAGTTGGACAAAGACAGCCCCATTGGCAACAAAATAGAAAAGTAGAAGCAACCCACTTCTGCTGCTTTGCATAAGCAAAAACTCCCAGACCTGACCCTAATGTGTCCAAGTCAGATCTCTGAAACCTGACTGTTTTAATGATTACTGAAAATTAAGCCTTCATCCCATACAGGCAGTTATCATTTTATACTACCACTGTAATCCTCCCCCACTACAGAGACAAGGCAAAAAAACCCAACCTGCAAATCAAACCCTAGGACTGAATGCAATGCAATAGCAATAATTCTTCCCCATGCAAAAGCCAAGTGAAAATGTGCACGTCAGACACAGAGGAGATCACCACTTCATCTGAAACACTGGGCACAGGTACCTGTTGGGGCGAAACAGCTCTGTGATTTAGGAGGGGAAACGATGTCCTCTTGTGCAAGGACACAGCATGGCCTGTGCCCACTCCAGTGACCTCGGCCACGCTGCTCGGCAGGCAGTGCTTGAGCACACATCTAACAGCAACTTCACTGTTCCCAACCCTCCATGGGAGCCAGGGAGACAGAGGGGAGCAGATGGGAACGGACACTGCTAGAAAACACAGTGCTGGTATTTTTAAAGCAAGGCACAACAAGGTGGAGGGATACGGACAACACCCCCTTGCCCCACCAGGCACTCATGCGACACAGCTGCATTTATCCTCCACAACACGGGACTGGCTTTATTGCAAGGTGTGATCTAATGGGGCTGGTGCAGTCAGACTGGTAGGACTCCAGACTTCAACACCACAGAGCAGACACCAACAAACTCTAAGCGATGCAAAGCCCCTGCTATGGGAGCCCTTCTTCAAGCTACCACCTCCAGCACATCCCTAGAGTAACTCTGCTGTAGTTGAGGTTACATGAGCACCAATTTTGGCAGAATGGGGAATCTCTGTAAAATGAGAATATAACTCTGAGCATGCAAAAATCATGCCTGTGGTGCTCATTTCTGAGCTGTACCTAGATAGGAAACTCATAATTACTCATTACAGCTGTGTAAACTGAGGCATAGAGAGCCAAATATTAATGAGACAAGTACAGTCAACAAAATTAATTTGTGATGGAATAATTTAGGCTGAAAGATTGAAAGCCAACAGAAGTGATTTCCCAAGGCCAGCTGGTATTAACTAGCTTTGGAAGCCTCTCCCATATTTTGACCTGTCTGCCAAATTTTATGCTTTTACCATACATGTATACAAGTGGCTAGAAAGCAGGATGCTATTTAGAAACACTTGGATGCCACACCTTACAAGGGTCAGGTTTTGGACAGCTGGGTTTCAGATAAATAACTGCACGATTTCCAAGTGCAATTCAGAGTGACAGGGACAGTAAATTGGTGGCAAACCTGGGAACTAAAATCATAAATCCCAATTCTCATTCTGCTCTTATTTCAATGGGACTTCAGTTGTTCTTTTCCTTTCTAGAAAAGTTAAACTACTCACAATTGGGAAACAGAGTCTCACCATCCCGTAATAGTTTCTTGCTTTGCTTTGGTGGAGAGATTGAAACAAAAGGAGGAGGACAACACAAAGCAAACTCCAACCCTCCTGATAAAAGCTGGCAGGAGTTCTTATTCCTCTAGCCAGACCACACTGTGTTTGTTTCCCAGCTTGCTCCTTCGGGCTGTAGCACTGCCACCCAGTGCTACCAGCTCTGCCTTTAGTAAGTGATGGTGTATGGTGTGCAGGGGGGCATGGTGAAAGAACAAAACCATCACATCAGCCTTGAGCATCCAGAGGAAAACAGCATCCAATACAAAGCACCAAGAGTAGTATCAGTAGAGTAGCCTCAAAACCAATGACAGTTGGGGGGGGGGGGGGGGGGGACAGCACTGAAACTACAGCTCGGTATGGGTATGTGCCTGTGCTAAACAGCTGTACATTGCCTGCTACTCCTTATGTCCTCCTGTCTGTCCTGCAGATCAGCCCTTAGCAGGTCACTGAGGCTCTGCCCAGCAAAATACTTTAGCTGCGGCACTGTACACAGCCCCCAGTTGTGCTCTCCTTGCTGCCTTTTTCCATGTCTCAAGGCCTCCACCACCCGCTTTGATAGGAGCTGCCTTTGTCTCTCACTGCCTCCTCTGTCTCCAGCAGGATTCCCATTTCACCCACTAAAGACATCTCCCACTCAGTTTTTGAGAGCAGCTCCACTAAGATTTAACTATGGCATTAGAGAGATCCACAGGACCATGCAGCTCTTGCTAGACCAGAAGTTCATGCTCATCCAGACTAAGTCTACACCAGTCAACTGGACCACGGTAAACTAAATCAGGTTGGGCACCTGCGCACCTTGCTCACACAGAAAGCTGGCTTGGGATCTAGAAAGATCATGTAACCCAGCCTTCTGCCTTTCTGTGAACACGCCACCTAACATACAATAGCAAGAAGCAATTAAAACTTATACCACACTTGCACTGTCTCCTCTTCTTACAAAGCCATAGAAGTCTGCACACAACACATTTGGCTCGGGTCATTTCAAAGGCTAACCTCAAAAGGACCTGGGCTAAAGGGGCCTCCCTAAATCCACCCTAAAACACTCTTTAATGATTGAAAAAGGAAAATGATCTCGCATAATGCACACAGTGATAAATGACCCACATTAAAAAAAAAGAAAAAAAAAAAAAGAAAAGAAATCAATCACCACCTTAAAATTTTCCAAAGCACCTTATATTGCAACCCTGTAACTAAATCTAGGGAAGCTTTTGCCATGCCATTCTGAACTTATTTCAATAATACATGCTCATATTCATCACGTCTGTCTGTTCCAAACCTATAGATCTTGACATTTCTGAACCAAGGTAAATTTGTTCTCTCTATAGGCTGTTTATTTTATATTAACGCTCAGCAAAAATGCAATCCACAAACCTGCTTGACACTATTGCTCCACTTTATCACTAAGAAATGAACTGAAGAGTGGGGGCACCATTATGGAGTCAGAGACACAGTGCATTGAAAATGAATATCATATTGTTCGTATCTCCAATGATCAAGTCATATTCACCTACAGAGTCTACAGATAAGTTCATTGTATTAATAATACAGGGTTATATATAGAAAACACACTGACTTTATGCCTGAAGGGCCTTTTTAAAAGGCTTCTTTTCAATGTAAAATACATTTTCTCAGTTATGTGGTAAGAGATCGGACTTGAAGAGACATGTCTGCAGTGCTACAGGGTGTAAAATAATTGCCTGGCAACTACGTTCCCAAAGGAAAACAAACGCGAACCGTCTCCCACGGTCGCCATTACAGAGCCAGGAAACACAAGATTCCTCGAAGAGCCAAAGCGACCATTCCAGAAACAAAACTGCTGCTTCCACGCGCCTCCACCCACTTCTTCAGATGTCACCTCG